GGATGGAGCTGCCTTTGGAAAGTGTTTGGCAGCTTAACTGGTACAGAATTTGACCACCAGGTTGTCAACTGACATGGATACCATAAACACATTACTCCAGTACTGAAAGTTTTAAGGTAGCTTCTGGTTTCTGAGCACAGTTCAGAGCATTTTTTAAAAACCACCACCACCACCACCACCACCTAGAAGTTTCTAGGGACTGGATATCTAAAGAACCACCTTCTATCACTTGAAACTGGCTGTTGGTGCAGATAATCTTTGTTGACCCATCTTTGTCAGAGATTAGACCAGAAATTAGAGGGCCTTTTTTCATGTCATGTCCAACTATGAAACATTCTCCAGAGGCATGTTCCATCAGGCACTAGACAACTTCCGTCTCCCTTGGGTACCTTTAATGCAATTTAAGGAGTTTTAATTTGAAGTTTATTTAATTTTATTTTTATGGTTTTCTTTTGAGTTGTTATTTTAGGGCTTGTGTGAAATAGATGCAATAAATGCATTGATTTCAGTGCTTCATTTCAATTCCAGTGGTCAGGGCACATTTAGTAATAGTGCCAGTATTCCATAGAGGAGGAATAAAATGAATGTTGATTTTCCGATTTTTTAAAAATTATGCTAAAAGGGTAAAACGGCACTGCAGTTACACGTAAATTGCCTGCAGTTATTGAGGGGTAAAATGTTGCAATTTGAGAACAATGTGTGCTTGGTGGAGACTAATATGAGGCAGTGCTGAAATGCATATAGAGAATGTGTATTGTCCTGGTGAAAATAGAGGGGCTTACTGAAGTTGAAAGTGGTATTTTACTCCAGCTTTTATTTGTGCTTATAATTTTGTAAATTAAAATTAGATTAAAAAATTCATATGAGCAAATAGTTATATAGAATAATAGCCTCTTGATCCAATTAAAGAATTAAGAATTTTATTTTTGGCAAACCTGTAATGTTTAGTGCTTCAGCTGCTCCTTTGTTTTCCAGCAAGTCTTAGTAACATTTGTCTAGTTCAACACATTGATAATGTCAGTGAAAAAGGCAGGTGGCCTTTTTAGGTTCCCCAGAAAGAAAACAAGCAAACACCATGCTGACAAATTAGAAACAAAATAGCTCTTAAAGTAACCTTAAAAAAGTGTATAAATCGAATTCTAGCTTCTTGATTTCTAGCTTCTTATAGTATTACCACATTCTTCTGTTATATGAGTTCCAAAGGAAATATTGCTAGCTTTGTGACAGATATGTTCATTTGTAAATGTACAATGAACTTGGGGTTCCTTTGATTTAATGTTTTTATTTATATAAATGTTTAGATAAGGTCTTTCAGCCCTAAAAAGGGGCCTAAAGGCACAATTAAAACATCATTACAATTAAAACAAACAGCAGGCAGTATTAGGTAAAGGTAAAGGTACCCCTGCCCGTATGGGCCAGTCGTGTCCGACTCTAGGGTTGTGCGCCCATCTCACTTAAGAGGCCGGGGGCCAGCGCTGTCCGGAGACACTTCCGGCAGCGTGACGAAGCTGCTCTGGCGAGCCAGCACCAGCGCAGCACACGGAAACGCCATTTACCTTCCTGCTATAAAGCGGTACCTATTTATCTACTTGCACTTAGGGGTGCTTTCGAACTGCTAGGTGGGCAGGAGCTGGGACCGAAAAACGGGAGCTCACCCCACCGCGGGGATTCGTAAAAGCTTGGCAGAATAAAAATGTATTGGTCTGCCTGCCTAAAGGGACAATCTACCGTATTGGCTCGAATATAAGCCGCACCCGAATATAACCTGCACCTTTAAAATCCAAGGGGAAAAAAGAAAAAAGACAATACCTGAATATAAGCCTCTCCTTTAAAATTCTGCAGGCACTCACACCCATTACGTTTTACCGTATGGCTGTTTCAGCAGAGATATCGTAAAAGCCAATTTTTGGAAGGTTGCGAATTTAAGCCGCACTTTAACTTTTCACAGTCAGAATTTGGCAAAAAAAGTGAGGCTTATATTCAGGTCAATACAGTAATTTCCCTTGGAGGGAGTAGCATAATTGGGGCACCACAATGAAAAAGTCCCTGCCCTGCATCCCCACAATATGCCCCTTCCTTGATGGTGAAACATAAAGTAGGTTCTCTGTACAGTGGTACCTCGGGTTACAGACACTTCAGGTTACGCGATTTCGGGTTGCGCATCACGCCGAACCCGGAAGTACCAGAACGGGTTACTTCCGGGTTTCGGCACTCGCGCATGTGCAGAAATACCAAATTGTGACCCGTGCGTGTGCAGACGCGGCACTGCGGGTTGTGAACGCTGTGGGTTGCGAACATGCCTCCCACATGGATCACATTCGCAACCCGAGGTTCCACTGTACATGAACACTGTTGATGGGTAAGTTCATATTGACTATATTTACCATACATATGTACTATTTCCTAGTAGCAGTATGGTTAGAGATTGCATTCTTAGTGAGAAGCGATTGCCTGTTAACTATGCAAAATTGGTATGGTAGGGTTTGGAAGGTTGTACTTGTAGATAAACGAACACAACATTGTAGTGTAGTCAGATGCAATATTACCAGAGATAATTTTTTAAAACTGGTCTCTCTTCATTTCTTTCATTAATTCTGTACCAGAAGAACCTATACTACCTGTTCACCTTTTCTTTGAGAGGTGTGTTATCCAGAAATTTACCTCACTATTCTGGATTTTCTTTATTTAGATATCATATCACTTACTCTCTCCAAGGTTTAAAGAAGGTTGTTAAAGAATTACACATAAGAACATGAGTTGCTGGTTCTACCTCTCCAGATTCACAAGGACACTTTTTTTGAAACCTCTCCTCCAGAACCGCTGATGGAAGGACATGTAAATGCTCCAGAGTAAAGGCTTTGTGATGTTTTTGATCAGAGAGCACGTAAAGATAGATTGCTGATTTTTAGGGCTGAAGTGCTCTGTCAGTTAGCATGTTATTTGGGATTAAGCCTAGACTATTACTAGACCTTTCTAAGTGGTCCTGAACTTCTGAACATTATTTCCGTGGCATGAGTAGATTCTGTGATGCATTATTCTTCTGTGACTTTGTGCCATGTATAAAGGTATTTACAAAACATTTTGGTAAACAGATAATACATTTTGAATCAGCATCCAGTAGTCATGCTGGTCTATTGAGCAGGCCAAGCCATTTTTAATTTTTATTTTTGAAAGCTTTACCTTTATAGAATAATATTGTTAATTTTGTTCTTCAACTCTAAGCTTCTGGTCGCAGTATCAGCAGTGCACTGCAAGAGGTCTCTCTAGCACCGTGCTTACTGTGGATGAGAGGCTAAGCAATAAATAGTACTTCTGCCTATCTTTTGCTCTCTCTTTCTTCCCCCCTCCATCTTTGAAATTGAGGATCTGTTTTTATGCCTACTTTCTGTCACTAGAGTGACTCCAAGCTACATGCTGATTTCAAATACTCTTATCTGGGCACTATTTCTTTTTTGAATAATAGTTGCTGCTAGTTTGGCTTGGCTGTAACAAGCAGATGGTTGAGGGAGAAGCCCTTGGCATGTTTGATTTTCAGCTATAAAGTGTCAAATTTTGATAATGCTATTCTCTTCTTTTCCCTATCCTATAGTTTCAGTTAGTGACATTCTTTACATGATGCTGTAATTTGCTTTCTTGTATCATGTCAGATAATTGTATAGTATGTGGACTCTGGCTAAAAAAATCTAGCATGCTGGGTCACAGACAGATTTGAAAACATGCCATTTTTTAGAATGTTGGTACATTTATACCAGTAAGACACTGATGTTGCAGCTTTTGGACTGGACATGTTTCTTAACTGCTTAAAATTCTAAAATGTGGACATATTAAAAGATTAATTAATTGAATTTAAGTTCAGAGAAACAGGTGATACCTAACCAGAAATTTTGATAGTGTGGTAGTGGGTTTTGTGCTATATTCTGTTTAGTAAACTAATGCTGGGTGGTTGATGGGAGAGTATCTAGACATAAACAGAAGAAGATGAGCTTAGATGTTTCTGATAACCAACTGTTTATTTAGCTTGATGCATTTAGGAGAAATCTCTTTCATCAGATGCTATATACAAAACTAAATTAAAATAGTGATAATACTTGAGACAACATCATAATCAGTGCTGAAAAACACACAGTACTTAAAATGATATAGTTTAGGGCCACTGAAAAGATTAATGGCCAGGAAAGAGTACTAAGTTAGAGAGAATTATTCTAGAGTATATATTTGTCAAGTTTGGCACCCAAGGGACTGAATGAAGATCTAGACTTTTCCTTGCATAAATAAATGGAATATGGTAGAGGATATCAGACATACCAGTAGGGATACACGTGTAATTTGAGGGGGGAACTAATGTTGATATGTGATTACAACTTCCACACTATGAGTTGCAACCTGTAGTAGTAGCAGGATTAGTTTATGAAAAATGTTCTGTAACAGTACACAGATACAATTTACTTCTCTAAATCTTCTCCGAAGATCATTAAGCAGTATCAGCCTTGTACTCCCAATGACAGTATCACATCGTCTTTGCCCTCATTCTCCAGGGTGAAAGATAGTTGGTTGCAATCTAACGTTTATTTAACCAGTTGTATGTTTTACTTGTTCCCCTGAAAACATTCACTTAATTTAATGTAAGTTATATTCCTTCCATGTTATATCTCCTACTATATTTTTATTTCTACATTTATTGTTATAAAATATAGCAGTAAATATAAGTCCCCCCACATAAGTCACCAGGAAACCACAATATGCGGCAGCATGGGGGGCAGTGGAACGTTTTCCCAACGGTCCAGGCACTCCTTTGGCATGCTTGGGCCAACTCTGGCAGGGTGGGCCTTCAATCACAAGGGAGCTAATCAGAGCTGGTGCTTTGGATCCTGTAGGCAGGTCCTAGAGGGCAGACTTTTGTGAAGACTGCTCAGGTCCACTCTAAATGTAAAGGAGGCCATGTGCCTGCTTGCCTCACCTTGTTCTTTGAGGCTTCCCCACCTACCCACTTCTTTCCGTATGTAGTTTAAGATAGTGGATTCTCCTTTTACAGGCAAGTTCCATTAGCAGTGTTGCTGTTGGTACTCTTTCAGCACTAGGCAGACCTTTCTACCTTCACGTCAATTGGCTATGGTTCTCCGGGGTTTTTGGCTACCTGATTGCAAAGGTATTATTGCTGCTTCTTTCATTGTGTCACCTCACAAATTTGTAATGGTAGGAGAGGCATTGAACTGGATCCTTAGAAGGAATATTGTATTCTTATGATGGGGAAAGGGGCACTCAGCCCCATCCCAATGAAAGATCCCCTTAAGTGATCTTGGAGGGCACTGCTCTCCTGGAGCCTCTCCATTCAGAAGCCCAACTTGGGGGGCTTATGGGCTCTAGTTCCCCCTACCAGGTTGCCTGCAAGAGTTCACCCAAAATTGTATATTGACCAGCACTTGGGCTGCTCAGCCATCAGATCTAATCACCAGGCCTATGTCAAAACCATTCTCTGTAATCAATAATTAATGCCATGCCCTTATTTTACCCCAGATATATCTCATGGCTGTTCTATTCCTCTCCCTGATTCACTGCATATCTGCCCACAAATTGTGATAATCCTGGGCTCAGTTTGCTTTTAGACGTCTTCCACTTTGGGTAGATGTTTCTACTAATCACGTTTTCATTTATTATCCTGAGATTTTCTCTTTTTACAATAACAGAGAGTATATTTTATTGCTACAGACAGGCCATATTTTTCAATGCTTGTTACTGCAAATTTTACAAACCATTCTTTCAGTTCACTTAATCTATTGGCTTTACGTTAGGAAATGCTAGACCCTTCTTCTCCCTTTGCTGAAAAAGAGTTTTTACTGTAACTGTTTGTTTCCTAGCTTCCCATAGAAAGATTTAAGGTTTTGTCATATTTTGAGTAAGGTTTTGGTGATCTTTAATGGAATATTTAACAATAAAAATAAAACTCATGGCATTATGTTTATTTTGATAACTCAACTTCTTGCCATCTAGTGGAGCTTTCAATTATTCTGATTTACCACAATCATTTATTTCCTGCATTAGTTTGTCATGGTTGAAAGCAATCATATTATCCAAATCATAAGTTATCCAGCATCCCAGATATCTGATAGGTCTTTCTTTCCATGGAATTGAATTTTTTTTTAGCTAACTCATTTTTCACTTCTCCCTTTGTATTACAACCAAACCAAATCAGATTTAATTAGGTTTATCTTAAGGCCTAAGACCTTAAAAAAGCTCCAGTACTTTCTTAAGTGGGTGGGTAGAGAGTTTGGGCTTTTAATAATTTGAGACTGTGTAATTATATGGGCAAAGTATTACAGATTAGCAGAAGAGAACCTTCTAAAATATATCTAAAAGAAGGAACAGACTGTCAGTTTTGAACCTGTGAAAAAAATAATGATTTTTAAATGTGTTATAATATTGTTGCTGCAGTCCAAAGTGATTGACAACAACAAGAGGTTTTCATTCTGTAAAAAGAATGAATAAGTGATTTGCTGTCCTTAGGTGGCAGCCACATTCCCACAAAGGACTCAGGAATTTTCTATAAGTGTTATGAACGAGAGAACCTGTTTTCTTCTAACAGGGGAGTTGCCTACAGATTGACAAACCCCCCAAAATGACATTTTTCCTTATTAATTGTTTATATTTGAGATCTGACCATTTCAAGTAATGCCTTATTCATTTGTAACACCTCACCCTTTTAAGTTTTCTAACCTGTTTTCCCCTGCAGATAGAATTTTGCACCTGGAATTACAGATGGATGTTAAAAACACTGTGTGGGTAGAACTCAGATGAGCCATATTCATAAACTGTTTTCTTTCAGCCAGTTGCAAATATACTCTCAATGCAAATATTATTATTTTTTAGGGGGAGGGAGGGCAGCAGGCAGCAAAAAATAAAATAAAAATGTAATTCTTCATTCCTGTCACACTTGTAAGATACTTATATCAGCTATGAAGTTAAATTTGCTTAAAGATGTGGATGAAATTTAGATTGAAAGTGCCTAATATGCAAACTTAGTTTCAGTTTTGTTTAGCAGTTTCCATAATACTACGTCTCTAGTTTTGCGACTGCATAGATTTGATGCTTTTTAAAAAAAATAAAAAATGGCTCATCTCATTTAATGCCCCTTCTGTGTACAACCCCTTGGAAAAGATTCTCGTTGTTAGAAAGTGGTGCAGTGCCAATGGAATGTTAATTGGAGGGACGTGAATAGCAAAGTCCACCTCCTTATAACCTTCTGCCACAACCCCTCCTTAATTAGCAGATTGAATTTATTTAGCCTTTGAATGGTTCCCCATCCCCAATGGAGACTAGCATTGTCATTGTGACCTTCATTGGGAATTGCGGCAGCTTGTTTAGGAATTGGTACAAAGCATTTTTTTAAAAAAAGTATATATATTTTAAACTTGACTCATTGAAGGAACTCAGAGCAAACAGGAAAAAATAAGACACAGAAATATCTTTATCACCAACTCCAGTTTCTTGTGCTGATAAAGGATCCATTGTGCCAGCCCCTCCTCCATGCTGGGGGAATTGTGGTTGTTGTATCAGCCATCCCTCCTGTTTACGGCTGCTGTTGTCGAATGCCAGGTTGGCTTGGAGTAAGATCCCCACCCCCACCCAATCCATGATCTGATTGTGGATGAGGGGACAGATCTGGTCTGTTTCACTGGGACTTGGGTGGGTGAGCAGGGTGGAATTGGTCTCTCCCTGCTGTGCCCACCTAGATACTTGGCACAGCATCAGGGCTCTCTGTCCGGTTGGAGTGGAGGATCTAGTGTGTGTGTTCCTGGCTTTGGGCAATTGGGACAGCGGTCTCCCTGCCTGAGCTGACAGAGCTGGTCCCGGAGGCAGTGTTGAGGACTCCCAGACTGCTGGTCTGGAGGACATTTCTGTCAGTGGCATAATTGAGGAAGAGTTTTATATTGGGAAATGTACTGACTCTGAAAAATACTGAATGATTTAATGCATTGTGTTTTTCAGTCTCTACCTTCTTTCTGTTTGTAAACATTCCTTATACAGGAAACTGTCAACTGGGATTACCTCAGCTACAATAGTCAAAATACAGTGATTTGAATGTGTTATAAACATGCAACACCAGATGGGACCAGAGAGCACAAAACCTTTCCATAGCATTTTTACATAGGTTTTTGTTGTTGTTGTTGTTATAACAATGTAATTTCTGATTTATTTATTGTCCCCCACATGTGTAGATCCACCCCCACCCACTATTGGATGCATTTAGGACATCCATCTAGATCTATGTTTCTATCCCAAATGCATCCAAGAGGTGTTTTTTTTAAATGCAACTGATAAAAGTTAAAAAGAAGAGGGTTCATCCCATTCATTTCTCATTCATTCTGAGGTAGGTGACATTTGGGAAGCAAATTTCTAGTATGGTACAGATGTCATATAGGTTCTGCAGACACCAGCCTGGAGCCACGTCTTGTCAGTGTTATAAACATGAGTGGTTTGTACATACCGATGGCCCTGCCAGGATGAGACAGAATGGGAATCTGATGAACTTTCCCCTTAACAAGGAGAATGTTTAGATTTTGAAACCTTATGTGGGGCTGTTTCTTCAGAGGCGTTAGTGCGTCCTTGGATTGGCTGCAGGAAAGTTTGGCAGGAATTGCAGACTTCCGTCTCCCAGGCTGCCGAGAGACTAGTTATCCAGGCCGTGTTCCTCTGAAGATGATATGTTCTCAGTTAAGCAAAAGCATTCTCAGCATGCGGCATGACACCAGAGAGGGGGGAGAGTTAGGGAGCTGGTGTCAGATTCAGAACCTACTCAGGCCAGTTCATGAGGCTCAGAGCCAATGTTCCCCCCCTCTCTTCCTGTTGCTTTGAAATGTTTCGAGTGTTTACAAATTCTATACTTTAAAGTAATTTTTAGGGTTTAGAATACAATCAAAGAAGAAACACTCTTTAAAAATCCAAGTTTGAAAAATTCTGTGTTTCTGTATTTGTGTCTTTATAATATTTTGTGTCCCACTTTGTGGTAAAAAGGACCTTAAGGTGTATTATGAACAGGTTTAACAGGTTGTTATTGTGTTATAGATGTAGCCGTATCAATTGATTTCATTAAAACATTCAGATTATTGGAGGATATAGTATATATACTATATAGTGCTTGGTAGATTGAAGGCTGTTTGTATCAGTTTGCTTTAATTAATTGTGATGGAAAAGCATGAGAAACATTTGAATCCTATGGCCCAGATACAAGAGGCAGAACTACAAGTAATCAACCAGCTTTCCCACCTGCTTCCAACCAAAGAGACATTATTATTCTGCTGTTGGGATTCTTAAGTATCTGTAGTCTGAGATCTTTCTGATTGTGTCCATGTTGTACAAAATGCTGAACAACCGAGTCTTCTATCCCATGGTTGCTTATGCTGCTTTTGTGTTCACACATGCGAGTCTGGTACCTGCTGGATTGTTCATATCGTTATATCAGTGAAGCTCTCCAGCTTTAGTCACAAACTGATCAGAGTTGTGATTCATATGCCCTTAAAAATTTTGGATTAAGAATTATCCTGGTATTCATTTATAATTATTAGCTACCTGGGGTTTGTTGAGGGCTTGCCTTAGATTAGGTGAATTCTTGCTGCAAAAGGCAAGTATTTGACTCAGCCCAAAATGTTCCAGATATGCAATATAAGGCATACATTTCTGTCAAGTTCTAGTGATGCTGAGCCACATATGGGATTTTGATATTCAGTCCTGGTCAAATAGATTGTATTGCCAGGAACTGCTATTGATTTTGTATGAGTTGGTTTTTCTTTTTGCACTGGAGGGATTGAGAATCCAATGCTGTACTATTTGCTAAAGTGATCTTGACATTTCTCTACTCCTATGGGATTTTTACCCAACAGAATAGTTTTAAATAAAATGCTGCTACAGGTTGAGACAAGTGATGTGAGATACATATATATATATGAAGATAAATACAGTAAATGAACTAAAGTAAAGTACAAAGATTCACAAAATGTTTAGGGGTATGCGTACCCCTGCGTCCCACCAGAAAAAAAGCACTGTGTGTGTGGAGCGAGAGAGCAGAACCAGGTTTCCTTTTTACCACTACAGCTGTATTCATACTGCAGGGTATTCAATTTCCCTAGTGTTTTCCCTGTTCATTTCTACATTGTATTTGAACTTTCTCATGATGTAAATGCCACTTATGGAAAACTAATGGAATATAGTGCATGCTTGGCGCTAAATTCTGCATTACTTGATTCCCCCACCAAATCTGTTTGCGTTCCCCTTAATCTGGAAAATTACAGGTGTAAAATGAAAAAATTGGGGGCATTATACTGGCATACTGCTGCTTTCATGGGTGAATTATGGGCGAACAGAAGTGTGCTTGTATGGAAAGGATGCGGGAGTAATAATTTATTTGTATCCCGCCCTCCCCAGCTAAAGCTGGGGCCAGAGTGGCTAACAACGGATAAAAATAGTACAGTGTACATAAAATCACGTTGTTGTGTTGCACCATGCTCATTGGTGTGGATGAAATTTAGTTCAACGTGCTGCTATATTGGTCAGAAAGCCACAGTTCCATAATACAACGGGTACTGCAGTGTTAAAGGAACATTAGAAAAAGGTTCAGTTCTTCTTCCCTTTACTCAGGGGTCAGCGAACTATGACCCAGGGTCTGGATGTGGCCCACCGGGCTCATAAATCTGGCCTGTGGACCCTGCGGACCCTGCCGCCCGCTCAGTAAGTCCCCTTTCTAAACCGGCACAGCGGCTGACTTCCGTGACGCTGGCACGGCTTTGGATTGGCTGCAGGAAGCCAATACTCCACCATGTCATAAATCTTTAAGGCTAGAATGCCCCAAGAGCTGTGAGGGACCTGGTGCTAGATGCTTGGAAAGTGGTACTTAGTTTATTTTTATGCTCATATTCCACTCAGAATCTGAACTGGGGAAGATATCAGGAGTGGTAATTCTCATCCTGAAGGTGAGCTTGAATACAAGCTTACAAAGTTTTATTTCCAGGCCAAGAAGTTTGAGTTCCACAAGCATCTTTAAATGAAAGGAATGATCCTTCCATAACAGCGACCAAATTTTATGTTTAAAGAATATGTATATTTGTTGAATGCATTATGAATGTACATAACCTTGTTAAAATTACATATCTTGAAAACAGACCTAGAGCTATCTACTGCCTGCCTTAGATTGCAGTTGAAACAGCAGAAAATGCCTTTGCACATTTTTATGTAATTTAAATAAGTTATAAAAATGAAACATAGCTCACTGTAAACAATAGCTAAGTTGGGAGCTGAGTTTCATAAGCAAAATGTTCTTTTATCATTAAGAACATGGATTTTCACAGGCAAAGATAGAAGAGTCTGGTTCAGATAACATTTTTCTACATTATTTGGAGATTTATAAATGCAGCAAATTATAGTCGGCAATATACAGTAGGTAATGAGTCGTATGGTGCCTCTGATAGATAGATGATATATGAGAGAGAGAGAGAGAAAGAGTTCTATGATAAGGTGGGCACAGGATATTGGGTATAATATTATGTTTGAGGACTGGGAAAGGCTGTGGAGTAATGGACTGAAATTTACTGCATGTAATGCTTTGAAAGAAAATGTAATGAAAATGATTTATAGATGGTATATGACCCCAGTCAAACTCGCAAAAATTTACCACCTGTCTGATAACAAGTGCTGGAAATGTAAAGAGTGTGAAGGAACGTTCTTTCACCTCTGGTGGACCTGCCCTAAAGTGAAGGCGTTCTGGGAAATGATTTATAATGAACTGAAAAAGGTATTTAAATATACTTTCACTAAGAAACCAGAGGCTTTCCTTTTGGGTATTGTCAGCCAAGGGGTGGCAAAGAAGGACCAAACATTTTTATGTATGCAACAACAGCAGCAAGGATACTACTCGCAAAACATTGGAAAACTCAAGATCTACCCACACTGGAAGAATGGCAGATGCAACTGATAGACTATATGCAACTGGCTGAAATGACTGGCAGAATCCGTGACCTGGGAGAAGAGAGAATCGAGGAGGATTGGAAGAAATTTAAGAACTACCTGCAAAAACATTGTGATTTGATTGAATGCTGAATAAGATGCTTGACTAAATAACTGAGCACCACTTAACTTAGAAGTTTTTAAGAAAATAAGAAAAATTGTGAAAGTTTAACTCTTTATGAGAACTATAAGATCATGAAATATCGAAGAGATATAAGAATTTAAATAAGATGATAAATTGCTGACAAAATGTTATAATGATGAAGGTGGGAGCGGGAGATGTGAGGAAGTCCAAAGAAAATGTGAAATTATGTTAAGACGAATGTTATATTGTTTATTACATTTATTCCTATTGTAAAATCCAATAAATTGCTTTAAAAAAAAAAAAAAAGAGAGAGAGAAAGAGTTAGTTTTTCGTTTTTCTTCTTTCTCCTCTCCCACCTCCTCTTATTTAATGTTATTTATATTCCACCTTAGTGGGACGCGGGTGGTGCTGTGGGTAAAACCTCAGCGCCTAGGGCTTGCCGATCGCATGGTCGGCGGTTCGAATCCCCGCGGCGGGGTGAGCTCCCGTCTTTCGGTCCCAGCTCCTGCCCACCTAGCAGTTTGAAAGCACACTTAAGTGCAAGTAGATAAATAGGTACCGCTTTATAGCGGGAAGGTAAACGGCGTTTCCGTGTGCTGCACTGGTGCTGGCTCGCCAGAGCAGCTTCGTCACGCTGGCCACGTGACCCGGAAGTGTCTTCGGACAGCGCTGGCCCCCGGCCTCTTAAGTGAGATGGGCGCACAACCCTAGAGTCGGACACGACTGGCCCGTACGGGCAGGGGTACCTTTACCTTTACCTTATATTCCACCTTTCTCCTAAATTGAGATTATGGTAAAATATAAATCAGTATGTTAGCTATAGTTTAAAGAAATGTTTAAAGAAATAGTGATGATGACTATATACAATATCTGACTCCACATACATGAAAAACCAGAAACAGTTCTGTGCCTGAACACATTTTTTATTTTTTAACTGTCTCTTCTATGCAAAGGATTTGAATAAACATTGAGACAACTCTAGAACAAGTCTGTTGGCTTACTTTGTCTTGCACTAGTTGTTTTCATATGTCTATATCAGTAGAATAAACCTTTAAAAATTAAGAATATGCTTTTGGAACAGAAGATGTCATTGTCTAACACTTAACACTATTTTTGGCTCTGCTCTAATTAAATAACTTCCGGGACCTTTGAGTTCTTCAGTTGCCACATGTAACACCACCTACACAATATCATGTGAAACCACATAGGCTTTTATCCCAACCCACATCCTCCTGGGTCCTTTTACTATTGACTTGTGTACTGGTTAAGTCACGCACGGTAGTTCTATTCAAAGTTTCATAGAATCACAGAATCATAGAATCTATTCCAACCCCCTGCAATGCAGGAATCACAGCTAGATCATACAGGACAGATGGCCACCCAACCTCTGCTTAAAAACCTCCAAGGAAGAAGGGTCTGCCACCTTTTGTGGTTCCTAGCTGCCTCTAACATTTAAGATAGTGCCTAGCTGTCATGGCTAGTACCAATTGCTAGCCTTATTCTCCATGTCTAACCCCATTTTAAAGACATAAAGACATTACTAGAACTTTTGGGAGTCAATTCCATAGTTTTAACTATTCACTGAATAAAGAAGTACTTCCTTTCGTTTGTCTGGAACAACTACTTTCTATTCATTTTCTCCATGCCATGCAAAAATGGATGCACCTCTGTTATGTTCTAGATATTCTTTCAGTTTTTCCTGTGCTAAAAAGTTCTAAATATGTTTCCTCATAAGGTGGTTGCTCCAGCACTTTGATTATTTTGGTCAATCTTTTCTGACCCCTTTCCATCTCTATAATATCCTTTTTGAGGTGAGTTGACCAAAACTCCATAGAGAATTCTTTCCTCAGTTGAACCACTTGTATAGTGGCATTATGATATTGGCAGTTTTGTTTTCAATTGATTTCCTAATTATCTCTAGCATGAATTTGCTTTTTTCACAGCTGCTACACACTGGACCAACATCTTCAATGAGCTATTCACTATGACCCCAAGGTCTCCTTCCTGTTCAGCCACACTCTATTAGCATATATTTGAGGTTAGGATTATTTGCCCCAGTGTGCATCACTTTACACTACTTTCATTGCTTTGCTACTTTACTGCCCATTCACCCAGCTCTGGAAAGATCCTTTTGGAGTTCCTTGCAATCCCCTTTTATTTAACCCCTGTTGAATAATTTGGTGTCATCACACAACTTACCGTATTTTTCGCTCTATAAGATGCACCAGACCACAAGACGCACCTAGTTTTTGGAGGAGGAAAACAAGAAAAAAAATATTCTGAATCTCAGAAGCCAGAACAGCAAGAGGGATCACTACACAGTGAAAGCAGCAATCCCTCTTGCTGTTCTGGCTTCTGGGATAGCTGCGCAGCCTGCATTCGCTCCATAAGACGCACACACATTTCCCCTTACTTTTTAGGAGGGAAAAAGTGAGTCTTATAGAGCAAAAAATACGGTAACTAGCTCACCACTCACCCTGAACATCAGGTCAATTAACAGGATTTTCTAATGAAACTACATAGTTTCTCCAGAGCCAGCAGCGTCACATTAAAAATGCCTGTGGAAGTCCCTCAAATATTGGTATTGGGATCTCTACTTTTTGTGTGAAGCTGAATGTTGCTCGTTAAAACTAAACAGCTTACTCTTGTCATCCAGCGGTCTTGTCTCATGGCTTCTTTTTAGTAATGCAGATAGCAATTTCAAATGGTTATTTACACAGGAAAACCAATCTGATGATCTGGATGAACTTTCAATATATGAACATTTAAAAGCATATAGCTTAAAGCAACTGCTATTTTAGTAAGTAACTGTTTTCGTCTTTCAATGTGACCTAGTAGTTAAGATTTTATTGTTTAAACAAAGATGATACAAACACAGTTTTTCCCCCAAAAGCAAAACTAGAGACTTCTGTGGTAGTCACTATCAGTAGCTTTAAACATCCTAGGATGAAATTGAATGATTTTCTTAAGAAATCCAGATATAAATCAATCAGGCAAGTTTATCACGCAACCAAATACAGACCAAAGGAAAAACATGCAACAACCAACAGTACAACATAGTGCAAAAGTGTACATTTGTAGAGGTGAGAGTCACTGATCTGAGGAATTGTCCTAATATGCTATCCTAAATTGGGTCACTTTCATAGGAAATCTAGCTAAACATAATAGCAAATATTTGATTTTATCCAAATTGCTTTGGTAGCTACACTCTAAAGTTTTATTCAAATGTATTTCTTCAAATATATTTCTCTTGTAAGTTCATATAACTTGCATGTGTGCTATCCTCAAGCATGCCTTCCACAGATAGAGAAATGTTCTCTTGGAATATTCTTCTGTCTCCTTTGATACACATGCTGTGATTATATAAGTTCAAAGGCAAGGGTTTCCTATTTTTTTCAGTTGTCAATTTTGCTGCTGTCAGCATCATAGGAACGAAGTCTTTGAACATCACTTTCTCCACTGAATCATCATAGGTGCTCAATAAAGCCAATTGTGGATTTGGCCTTAAAAAACCCCCAAAACCTACTTTCAGAATGATACTGTTTTGAGCAAGACCACCACATACGGAAATACGTTCCTTTATTGTTACATTCTTTAGCACCATGGTGATATTGCATAGTTGTTTCTATATTGTTTAACAGGTGTGAGCTACCATCATACTGTGAGCTTGGTGGCATTTTATCTGTGACAAGACAGATTTAAAGGGATATTTACTCCAGAAGCCATTCCATGTGTCTGTTTTTAGAGTCCAGTGCTTCCTTAGGTAGCTTCTACTATTATTTTATAAGTTTTATAAATTTCCAATAGAAGGTTTTTGGTGTTGTGCTCTCTTCTGCTAAGGTGAGATCTGTGACTGGAGAAGGTATGACCCAAGGATGCATTTTCACCAGTGGTGTAACAATTCAGGGTCTTCATTGACCATTGCAATATATCCGAAATATAATTATAAGATTATTGTATAATTTTAGAAGAGGCGTGGCAATGACTGTTATGGAGGAACTCTACACTTCTGAATTTGCCACGACCTCAACCTCAACCTCTCTACTCCCAAACCATAGCATAATGCATAAGAAGAAAAAGTTGTATTAGCTGAAAAATAAGAAACCATAACCAGCAACTACAGAGTTATGTGGTTAGAAAGAAATCAATTGGCAGGAAAGAGCCAGTGCTGTATTTCCCTCTTTTTCCAGTGTAGTTGATTAATCTTTGAACATAATTGGCAACATAACACATAATTAAGTTTGAGTCCACTTAATCTGTTTCAGGAGTTTTGAATGCCGGGATTCCATGTCTGTCTTCATTAATACCAGGGTTACCAACAGACAGGTAGAAGGGGGGGGGGGGACTCAAGTCTAGCAGATCCACAGACACTTTTATTATTACTATGATAGTGGCAGCTGATTCTTAATAAGTCTTGAAATTCTTTTGGCGTTCATATCTCTTCTCTTTGTGGATCAAGGGAATAATGATCAGTAATGCAGTGTTTTTCTACATTTGTTAGAATAATAAATCAGCAGGTTCTCAGCCTCACTTGCGTCTCACTGCTCTCTAATCACAAATACATTAAGCAGGCCAGTCACCCTCGTAATTGTGTTAGTTTTCAAATGGTTAAAGGTTTTTGTGTTTTGTTCTTGTCCCGCCCCCCCCCCCAAAGACGGATTCTTTTCAATCTGTTGAGATCCCTCCCTATTTCTCCGCCGCCACCGCCATCACTCACATTCATTCACGGGCTTTTTTGTCTTTCTTTTAGAAGGGAATAAAAAAAATGATAGAGGCCTGAGCCGGCTGGCAGGCACCCAACTCTTTTGGGTGAATAATATAGCAGTTCATTCAGCATCTTACACCGGTATTAAACAGAGAACTTCCCAGATGGTCACATGAACCGTAGCACCCAGCTCCAAGCAAGCAGCAGAAAAAAGCACCCATTCTTGACTGGTAAAATGTAGTCACCCATCTCACATTTCCTTCCTCATTTACTTGACTTTTTAATACATTCCTTTGCTACCAGCACCCACATGCCTCTAATGCAAATTTTGCCCTCTCCTCAATTGCTCAGTATGCATAAACCAGGTTTGAAAAGTCAATCTCTCCTCTCTCCTCTCCCCATCCTCATGTCTGTTCTCTCTCTCTCTTTTTAAACCATTGGTTATGACTTTACTTCTGAAAAACCTTTTGGTTCAAAATACAAAAATAAATCATTGTTTTGCAAAAACGATATTGTTTGTAAGAGAATATTGGGTTGCAGAATTCAAGACAGAAGAAAAGTAGCTTTAACGATGCAGGCTCAGGAC